GCCTCAGCCTTCCAACTCTCTACAGGTCAGGGGGGGAAAAACTGAGGAGACCACAAGTGACCATTTTCCTGACAGGGCATAGGGGATATTTTTTTTTTATCCCCCGTATTCTTGTGCACAAGATAATTCTTGTGAATCTGCCCTGGCTCCTTGGGAGTAATGCCCACAGGGTTCAGTGCGACTTCTGATTAAGAATGCACTTACCAGCAGCAGTCCTGCACTGGTGGTTTACTCAGAAATAAGGTTCGTTGTGTTCAGCTGGGATAAGTGCAAACGGGTTCACTGTTGGAAACATCTTTATAGGTACGGTCCTATCCTAAATGTCTTTATTTCGGGTGGAGTGAAACGTATTCCCCAGAGAGTGAGTTTAGGATGTCAGCCTTATTCAGTTCTTTGAAATGATTACACTCACACACATGCTCTTTGTTTACTAATAAACATTGGCTTGAATGAACTTTACCTGTAAGCATGCCCAACCAAGGTTGGAGAGGCGAGGCAGGAGTAGCTAATTTGAATGAATGCAACAGGGTGTTTCTTTCTGTAAAGGTTGTACATAACTTTGGATGGCCACATGAGAAATAGAGCGAGGCTGTCAAGTTAACACCCCTGAAATACCCCCCTCTCTCACAGCTGTTAAAGGTACAGGATCCGAAGGTACAGGATCCGGGTCCTCTTTTTCCAGGTGACTAGCCTTTTATCACTTGACTACTGCAGAATAAAGCAATGGCCTGCATGCTTTCATGGACATGTGTATGCATCAAGTAGACAGTCTTCAAATGTGGAGAAGCATTTAGAGCCCATCTAGAGTGAAGGGAAATGCCACCAGTAAAAATATATATACAGTATATAACTATGTCAAGCTGATGAGGAAGGCAAACTACTAACAACTTAGGCCAAGAAAACATGTTTTCACAGATGGGTACATGTTGAAGACAGCAGTGTCCAGTCAGAAGTTCTCAAAGTTGGCATATAGCACATATTTTAATAGAACATGCTTTTGAGCATTGGTTATGATTGGAAATGTGTGCAACATGGGTTGATGCTAAAGCGTCATGCATAAAATATTTGTTATTTCTTGCACCATGTTGTGATATCCACCGCTAAAGTAAAACTGGACTGGTGGAAAGTGGGTAGAGTCCTCCTCCTCACTGTAAATGCATATTTTTTGGTATAATGCACATCCCGTATTTTATGACAGCACGGAACCAATACTTTATAGGAGTTCTAGAAAAATGCTACAATTTGATTGAATGTGCTAGTCTAATAAACCATTATCTTTACCAGTAACTCTGCTCAAAGCTAGAGAAACAGCTTTACTCGTAACCATATGAAAAATACATTTGTGGGAGTGTGCAACTATCCTTAGAATGCTGGTTGTTTCCCATGGACCAGTAATTTTCTACATACTGATTTCTGTACTGTGACATCCTGTTTAGTTGTTCCCACTATTGATTCAGAGAGTGAAAAAATATTTATTTTATGTGCAGTTTGGGAAACAGGAGAAAAAGCATGTTAGAAAGTGTTTGCTGCTTCCTAATTTCCCATTTGTTTATCTGGTTTGTGTCTGTGTTTATGTTATTGACTAATAACACAATAGAAATTTAGGATATAGCAGACCTTTTCTTATACATAAACTCTCTGAAAATGTAGTTCTTATACATACACACTTATTAAAAATGGAGCTGAAATTCATGTCGCAGATGTTTATGCGTGTATGTGTTTTGTTTCTTTAACAATTTTATGGTACAGTATACACTTTGAAATATTAAGCCAGGTTTTACAAGTTAGATTGTTCCCCTCTGTATTTTAAACCCATGAAAAATGTAGCAACCTTTGATGTGCTTGAGTGTTTTCAACTCATCTGGCTATTTTAAACACACTCCCATCTTTCTAGTGGTTTTTACACAGAGATGATTTCTTTAAAAAGTCTGTAAATAAGAATGCACAAAGAGAACAATATTTAAAAATATCCAAATAAACCAAAAGTACATCACCTAAAAAGTGATCCTCTAAAATGACTTCATTAAAAAACAACACATATTTCTGTTTAGCTAGCCTGGTTCCATTTGTTTTGTTTTAAAAAAGCAAAGCTGTATACCTTTCCGCTGCTTCTGTATTTCTAGTAAATAGTAACAGTTCCAGAAATGCATCTTTCTCCTTAAACTACATTCATCTCACTTTGATCTGTTAGTTTTTAGTTACTACTATCCTTTCTTTTTATCAGTTATTTTATTGTCTAAACTGACCTGAGCCATGACTCTTAGTAGTAAAGCTCTAATATCATGAGTATATTCCATTGTAATGATTTTCCTTTATGCTGTTGTCAATCTGGTAATTTCCCTCATAGCTGACTTTTCCCTGAGCAGCATTAAAGCTGAATAAATAAAACTCCTGAAGCTGACAGACAAATTATGCTTGCTTTCCATGCCTCCCCTTTGCCCCTTTCATTATTATATTTGGACTACACTTCAGTATGAACAATAAAATACTTTGTAAACAACTTTCCAAAGTTTTGATTTTCTCTGATGCCCCGATTACCCACTATTTATGTTTGCAAAGCTACATCTCTAGTGATATAGAGAAGTGGACTGATGTTGATTGCAGATCAACAAAGTTATAAAATACCTAGAGGTAACAGATACGTACACTGTACTGCTCAATCTGCATAAAATTTCTTGTATTCTTCTGGAAAATGTGGCATTCTGACTGGCTGATTAATCATCATACTATCCCCACAGAACTGTCTTTTAGAGAAGTTCTAGTAGGTAGTGTAAAACTTGAAGGGAATGGAAACACTGTAATCACCATAGAAGGAAACGTGGGATTCACAGATTTTCATGAGATAAAACAATAGTGTTCAGTGTTTAGATGAAGATGAGTCATACTAATAAAAGTGTTTGGAAAATAGCATTATTTGAATTTAGATTTCTTCCACTGAAGGTTTGAATGGCAGGATTTTAAAAAAGTAAAATATCTGTGCTGCTTTGATTTTCAGGGGCATAAAATAGGATTGCCCATAGCATTTTACAGAATTATGGTTATTTTTGTTAATTAACATATTTGTAAAATATTTCTAAGTCCCTTTTCTGCAACTGAAATTTGGTTGCCACAGATTTCATCCACTTGCCATGTACAGGTGCTTTTGGAAAAAAATGGGACAAAAAAGTTTTTCAACAAGTTTGTTCCTTTTTGCCATTGATGTATTTTTTTTAAATTCCAGCCAGCCTAACATACTGGGCCGGAAAATGTGCCATACTATTTTGAGACAAACCATGATGCAGAAAAGTGGAAGTGATGAGTTTTGGTTGTGAGTAAGTTATCTCTGTTCAGGAAAAACTGAAATTTCTTCCTTAGAGGAAATAAAAGTATTCTCCTTGGGGAGTGACTGTATGTTAAACCATAGCGTACAATATATCAGGATTTTTTTTGAGAGGCTAGTAAGCATTGTACAGCTTGCACAGTGTATGTTTTTTCTTTCTCTTAGTTCATTAGGATTAAAAGCAGTCGAAAGCACATTAAAATTAAAATTATTCAAATTAGTCAGTCAGCTACTATAAACCAACTGGCAGCAATGCCAGGAATCATAAATCAGATGTCGCTACTAGTCATCTATCTCTAGCCTGAAAGAATAGAACGGTTTTTATTCATTGTGTAGAATTGTAGGAAGAAGGTTGGCAGGCCTTCTAGGATGGGCATTCATGAACAGTGGTAACACCAATGAAGAAGATTCTCTCTCAGGATTGACAGACCCTATTTCTCTGCAAGCTGAAGTAAGATATCAGTTCCAGCTTATAATGATGTTAAACAATGTAAAAGACTGTTTAGTGGTCATGATACATTATTCATATCTGTTAGATTAGGCATCCTTCAGTCTCGAGAGACTATGGTAACGTGCTCTGTATGGAGGACTTGGAATAGCGTCTAATGTGGCTGAGAAGGCCAATTCGAGAGTGACAATAGAGCATTAATCAGACCCAATAAAGTAGATGCTTTATTTTAAAGGCTAGTCAGAAAGTATGATTGACACAAAATACGAAATCTAACTGGTTGGCTGGAACTGGATAATGCAACTCCCATGGTAGCTTCTTAATTTTTTGTGACCTTGGTTTAACAACCTGGTTATGTCCTTTAGAACTATTCATGGTGTGGAACTGAGAAACTAGAAGGACCATATTGGAAATGGAGGGCCTCACCAACATCAGAAGAGTAGGGAGAGCGGAAGTCTTCTTCTGTCCTTAGGTTAAGTCTTGGACTACCTCATATCCTCCCCAAGGGCCTTCCATTAGAAAGGCATCAATGGATAGTTCTTTTAATTCTTTTTCTATCCACCTCTTCTGACATTTTTTAGCTGTCATGTTTGAAACTGTAATTGTACCACGTAAATCTTGGCACTAAAACAGTCATAATCAGTATCTAAGAATCTAAAAATTTTCTCAAGGGTAGTTCTTCTGTACATAGATACTTTGCACTGGGCAGCTTGGGTAGAGTGGATTGCCTTTTTATATGTTCCCTTTGCAGAAAAACAACCGATTACTGTCATGAGTAGAAAAGGAAGGTATTATTGTCAGGAGACATTCAGAAGTACAACCTCCACCTGCAGGTTGACTGGCAGAGTGTAGGAAAACTTTTATAATCTGATTTTGCCTAGTTTATACAAATTTGTTACTTATTTAAAATATTTCTATCCTGTCTTTCTCCTTAAAAGAACCCAAAGATTCTGAATGCCTGTTATAGTCAATCTGAGTCTTTTTAATACATGTTTTATTGCTTTTAAAATAACACAAATCTGATTTAGAAATATATGGCACTGCATAGCAGTCTGCTACTGATGCTGGTATACTGCCAGTGCAACCTTGTTTTCCTTCTATTAGGTCTACCTCATCAACTTTTCTTTGATTACATATGTGTCAGAAAACATATTTTTTTTGTTAAAGCATAATCTGTTGCTTATATCTGAAAATACAATGCCTAATAATCATTATTATATTCATATTAGACTTCTTTAAAGAGAGGAATTCCTTTATTTTCAGTAATGCAAAATTATATGTTTCATTAACAAAAACTCTGCCTTATATATATATATATATATATATGCCTCCATGTTTCTAGTTTGCAGCTATTTTATTTTCTTAAATAGTGTTAGTCTTCTGATTTCCCCCTTATATGTACATCTTGGAGTTGCTAAGATTAGACTTCTAAATATGACGGTCTCTGGTTTGAATAACCTCTTGAACGTTTACATTTTGTCATGCCTTTTTAATTCCTACTTGTTGAGAAATATGCATACCTTCTGGGTCTTGTTTTTTCCTTATGAAGTTTTGTCAGTGCTATAACTGCTAAAACTGAGGACCTAAGTACCTTACCTTATGTTTTTATCTCCAGTTTTGTGTAACTTTAATATTTCATACAATTTTATTGTTCTGTTAAGATTAGTTACATATTTTAATCATGTAACAGTGGACCACTCCTGATTTAAATTTCAAATAAATGGGATAAGATGCTTTAGTACTCTAAGTGAAAGGTTATATTTGAATACAGTATTATCCCAAATAACTATTTTGAACCAGTGCCCAAATCCAGGGAATAATGTTGTTCTATAAGCACATTCTATCTTTTCATCCTCTTGTAGAGAATTTCAGCGTTTCTCTAAGATACGTATTTTCACTTTTTGGCCTTGCAATGGCAAACTGAAAAATTTAAACTGTTTTTTAAGAGTTATGGGAAATCTTCCACATTGCTTCTTATACAGATGGTGTAATATAGTGGTTCTTAACCTTTTTGAAAGAAACGCCCCCTTGAGCCATTGAGGAAGTTATCATCGCCCCCTCCCTGAGGTGATATCTTTCTTACCTACCTACCTACCTACCTACCTACCTACCTACCTACCTACCTACCTACCTACCTACCTACCTACCTACCTTGTCTCCCTCCCCACCCGGGTGCGAGGCAGAGCTTCACGGGGCGAGGATGAGGACCCAAGAGACCCTTTCCTTCCACCCGATCCACACTCAGTGCTCCCCTAAAGGAGAAAGGCGAGATGTGGCAGGTAGAAAGAGCTAGATCATCTGGCGGCAGCAGCAGCACCGGATCTACTGCCAGCACTGCGTTTGGCTTGCTCCAACGCCCCCCTACCGCCCCCTTCTGTTCTTTTGCCCCCACACCGCCCCTTTTCGTTCTACCGCCCCCATGAAAAATGAAATCGCCCCCTGGGGGGCATTATTGCCCACGTTAAGAACCACTGGTGTAATATATCAGGGCTACATAAACTCTCCTGCTTTCTCTTGTGTAAGAGGTTCTGGAAACATGCATGGAATTGTGACATTTTTTTAGAACAATGTTCCAGCACTTTTAAAAAAGTGTAGTACTGTACCTTCTGTGAATGGACTACAAATCATTTGGGATTAAATTTTTTGTAAAAGGAACTTGGAAGAAGCCTTTTTCCCATTTTAATGTTTAGAACAGGCCTGTATGGCCAAACATACCATTGAGCAGAATGGGATGGATGCTCTAGGCAGATTTCAGGTAAAAGGCAACAAATTATTAATTTACTGTGACTGTGTTGTAGTACCAGGAAAGGGAAAGGCGAGATTTTGTGCTTTGAATGCTGTGGTAGTTTACCAGTGTAGGTGCTGTGCATGATGATTCTTTGTGCAGAGCTCTACCTCTTTACAGCAAGATGTTCAGAGCTCACTTGGATTTACCCTCTTATTTGTAATTTAAGAATGGATAATCATATATGTATATGGAAAGGATAATGTTTATAAAAGCGGTCTTTTCGCAAGGAGAGAACACTCAAAATGGTTTACAATATGATAATAACAGTTAAAAATGTATCACATTAAAAAAATACCAAATTAGCACAAAAACATCCAAAAGAGAAGTTAAAGATGCAGAGGACCTTAAAAAGCTTAGTGAAAACTGGTTTTAAAGCTGGGTTTTGGAATAGTTTTTATTCTGTTCAGTGTTGGCTTTTTTTAAAGTCTTGCAACCCACAGCCCACTTGTTCTAATGGAAACTAGTTACAGTATTTGCTTCTTCCTCTCCATCTTCCTCATCTCCCCTTTTGACAATAACAGATGTCAGGAGTTGAGAGCATACTGGTGAAAGGTACATGGCTGCTCTAAGCATGCTAGTTGAAAACATTTCTAAAGTAACAGAATTCAGTCCTGTGTTTTTAATAATACCACCAATTTTCCAGTAATACAGACAAGTCATATAGACATGGTCTGGATGTACATAGGGTTCATGAAACAGACTTACCTGTACTCTACTTTTGTTCAGAAGTGTAATATCCCTATTCTGGTGATGTATCTGATGCAGAATTAGCCTGGAGGCAGGTGCAGTATGGTGTGTGGGGGTGGAGGGTAGGGGGAAGGAATCACAGTATTTAAGTTGAGATGCAAGAAGATACAGTAACTGTAAATATATGACTCCTTTGGAATGAGTAATTTTTAAATCTTGTAGTATCTCTGTTTCTGTAAATATTGTCAAGATTGCTGATCATTTGAGAGACATAAGAATATTTCTGATATTGTGTCAGACTATCCAAATCAGTATTGTTTACATCAGGGCTAAATCCTGGCTTAATTCTTTTTTCTTTTTTTAGTATCATTCATTTCACATATGAAGCTTTATGGCTAAGACACACATTAGCCACTGTTGCTTGACTTTGGTTTTTCTCTCTTTGTTTGATTAGTTGTGCCATATTCAGTTTGGCATTTCCCCATGTAGTTGGTCTTGTCCCGACTTTGGAGAAGTTCCTATTTCTGGAGTGCTTTGGTGTTTTCCAGAGGTATCTTGTGTTCCCTCGTCCTATAGCACAAGATGTTGGTTAATCCAAACCTCTTTAGCTGATGTTTTTACTGTGTTTTAAACTGAATATTGATAGATGTTAATCAATGAAATAATGATGTAAGGGGCTCTGGATAAGTAGCTCCCTTGTTACTTCTGATTGCAGTTTTGTTTCACGCTTTATCTTTGACATTTGGACACTGCAGAAATGAGGGAAGACAGGTGGTAGCTGTAACAATTTGATACAACTGTATATTAAACTAAGGAGGAATCACATCACATTTTTGTCCTACATGTCTACCCAACACTGCTTGAGCATAGGCCTCAGATTATAATTCATTCTTAGACTGAGGAATGTTTTCCACCCAAAGTCAACAGCAGAGTGGATAACTATCAATGATTTTTTAAAAAATTAATTTGATTTAAATCATGATGCAAATCAAAATTTGAGCTTTTAAAGTTAAATAGTCAAAAATTCTGATTTTTTAATTTAAATCGTAATTTAATTCCATTTCATTTAATCAAATCAAATAAAGAATTTTAGTATCTATTGTACTATAACTTCTAGAACACTGCACATGAGCAAGAATGGATTGCTTCATAGAGCTATTGTGAGATAGGTGATAATTCTGACAGGTACAGGTTTGAAAAGTGCTAAATGCTTTGAAAATGATATTCTATACCTAGGTGGCAGTAGAGCATTTTCTGTTGAACAAGGATTAGAGCAGATGTGAAGAAAGTCACTGCTGATTAACTAGAAAGCAAGAGGGGAGATATAAAATGAAACATGGCTAAGATCTGGATCTTTGTCCAATAGTTGAATTATGGATAGTCAGACTATTAACTTTAGAAGCATTAAACTCTCCTGATTTTAGAGAAATCATCCCTCTCTGAGTGCTCAGAAAAACAAGTGACGTATGGTGTCACCAGAGATAGAGGACCAGGGACTCTAGCACTGTCCTTCCTTTGCATTTTTTTTTAAAAAATCATAAAGTATTCGTCTTCTTCCTGAAATCATTTTTCTCAATATGGAATTTTATAGTTGCAAGTAAATTTTTTGAAAAGAAAATGACTTGAGAAAAAACAGTTGGGTTGAAGGTGCACATACTGGAGTTCATTTAACCTCTTGGCTACTGATAATGTATTTTAAATTCCCAATTCCCTGTTTTGAAGAGGATTGGTATTATGACCTATATTAGATAATGATGTAGTTCCATTTACAGTGTAGCACTCTGGAATGTTCTTTCTTACCTAATAGCAGACCACTGCCAAGGAGATGTTGGACAAAAAATTGTGAATAGAGTTGTGAATTGTGAACATTACTTAATACTTCTTCACTTTTGCAGTCTCAGATTTGTCTCCAGGATATTTCCTTCAGAATGAGGGATAAAAAAAGGAGTGCTTTCTATCTGGATATAATGAAATAAATAAAAACATTCTGAGAGCAAACAAATGGGCAGATGGCAGCAACAGGATAGCTGGGGCATAGTGGCTGAAATTGTGTTGCTTATTTAAAGTCAGATCATAACCTTTGGCCTCTTCCTCCCTGCTAAATAAAACATCCCTGCTGTGATTCTTGGAGAGGTTAGAAGGCATATAGCAAGCCTGTATACATGTGTCCCCATAAGAAACATATCAGGGATGGTTTGTTTACCAGGGAGGAATGGACCGAAAATCACAAACACAAGCATAAAAGAGTAAATCTATTAAAATACTTATATTTATATGTATATCAGTGTAATAAAACATTTTGAATATTTTCGCTTTGTATATAAATATTCCGATTCAAATAAAGTGATATTATTTTAAAATTTGTTTTAACAGTCATACAGCAAAGGCGCAAGAAGAAAAAACAGATTTAAAGGCTCAGACGGGAGTACATCTTCTGACACTACCTCTAATAGTTTTGTTCGGCAGGTATGTAATTTTTCCACCAGAGAGATAATATTGTGCTATGTAGCTCCATAAGTGAAGCCTGAAATAATATTGTATAATTAATGGGTGCAGATTTGATGTCTATTAGAGGCATAAGACTCTGAACTCTTTAGCTAATTTTACCATGAGTATTTGCTCCATACTTTGACATTTGAAACTTGGTGCATCTTCTTTGACTAGGATTTAATACAATTTCTGTTTTTTTCCCCCTGCTTTCCTCTGTATGTCTGAAGAATGCTGAAAACTCTATTCTGTTACTGGTTTGCTAATTAGAAAGGTATTTTTTTCTGGTTTTATGTGGATTTGGATTACAATGACAGTTGTTTTCCTTAGGATTGTTAAAAATCAGGCAAAGATGCATAATTGGACATAAAATTAACAATATTACAGAGGTTTACTTGTCAGTGACGTTCTATGACTTAAAAAGTATGTTTGCTAAGCGTAAGAGCTGAATATTCGAATTATTCTTCAGTTAAATTTAGCAAATTCTAATTTCTTTAAAGGACTGTTTTAGGAGAGAACATGAAGTCATAGCTGTGTAAACTCCTCTGGCTGTTGTGGGACTGTTAGGGTTTCCTTCCTCCTTATTTTGTTCTATAGAAGAAGGATGTATTACTCAGCAGGGATGACTTATAAGATTACAGTGGGAACAAACTGGTGGATCTTCCTTTCCTCTTCTCCTCTGATTCGTGTATTCGGGGCTTTGGCTAGGGTTTGTAAGGGAGAGGCGAGCAGTCTCTGGGAAACTTATTCTTGGGCGTTGTGTCATCTTTTCTTTCTCTCTCCAAAAAGAGAGTTTTCATGGTGGCTGGAGTTTGTGGTGATACTCAACCTCTTCTTTGGGCACTCTCAGCAAGACTGTCTCTCCAGTTCAGGGGTCTTATTTTAATGTGTACTCCCAATCTCCTGGGGACTCTCATCTTTTATCTTACAAGGTAAAATGCTTTACTGGGCTCCTCTACTGCATTGCCCCAGTTCTCTTCTACCCCCTCTTGATCCCACTTTTCTAAGGTCTCCACAGAGTTATCTCTTTAACTTCCATCTCCTCCCTGGCTATCTTCTCTTTCTTCCCTTCCGTTATCTCTCTCTCTGCCACATCTAATCCCTTTTTTATAGTTTCATTTCCCAGATGTGTTTCTCCAGTGGTCAGGCAGAGTGACTTCTGCTTTCTTCATTTCCTGGGCTCTCTGTTTTCTCCTGGTAATCATAATCAAGCACTGTCTCTCCTCAGTTAACTGGGGAGCTGGAGGTCCTGGAAGAGAAAAGTCATCTCCTTCCTTATAGAGAGATTTTATTTAAGAGGTGAATTTGACCTAGAAATTTGGGTTCAGATATGTGGAGATATCTTGCTCCATTGTAGTCTAATTCATATTAGAATCCTTGTGTTTCTTATGGCCAGGAATATGATCTACGGTGGGCCAAATAGGTATGCTTGATTTCTTCCATGCTGTGCAAGAAAACCTAGTTCTTTTCAAATGCAGGAAGGCTATTTTTAAGCAATGCACAATGGTGGTATTACAGAGTTAAATTAAATATTGAATTACTAACATTACATTTGCAGCACAGCATAACTTTCAAAAATATTTAACTCACTATATAACAACAGCAGTGTGTTCACAATAATCTAAGCACACTTGCCTTCTGTTTTTCAGCCATATTTGCAGAATATCAGGTTAATAGAACTTCACCCCACTTTGCATAAAAATTAATTGCAACTTTTATTTAGGTTCTCCTCTAGTTTTTGCAAGAAACAGCAATAGTGTCATATCTGAAGAGAATGTATACAATACTCTAAGGTTCCCCCCCCCCTTTGCTAATGTTAGTTGATGTTAGTTGTTTGGGTCTAGCCACTGATGCAAAGGAGCTTTTTCTGCAATGCCCCCACCTTTGTGTAATACAGTCATGTACAAAAATATTGGCACCCTTGCAATTCTGTCAGAAAATGCAACCCTTCTCTCAGAAAATTGTTGCAGTTGCAAATGTTTTGGTACTCACATTTTCATTTCTTTGGTTTGGTTGGAACAACACACCAAAAAAAGAAAAACAGAGAAGAAAAGTCAAATCTGATACAATCCCACACAGAAACCCCAAAATGCAGTGGCCAAAATTATTGGCAACCTGTCTAAATTGTAAAAAAATAATTGCTTTTCAAGCATGTGATGCTCCTTTAATTTGTGTTTAGACACATGTGTTGCAAGTAAGAGGTGTGGGCAATATAGTAATCACACTTGCAACCAGTTAAGATGGAGAAAAGTTGACTCAGCCTTTGTGTTGCGTGTGACACTGAGCATGGAGAAAACAATGAAGGTAAAGAGTTGTCTATGGATTTGAGAGAAAAAATTGTGGAAAAACATCAACAATCTCAAGGCTACAAGTCCATCTCCAGAGATCTTAATGTTCCTGTGTCCACTGTGTGCAATATCATCAAGAGGTTTATAGCCCATGGCACTGTAGCTTACCTCCCTGGACGTGGAGGGAAGAGCAAAATTACTGAAAAATTACACTGAAGTGTTGTTCAAATGGTGGATACAGAACCCAGATTAACTTCCCAACAAATTCAAGCTGATATGCAGACACAGACTACAGTGTGAGCTCGCACTATCTGCTGCCATCTGAATGAAAAGGGACGCTATGGTAGGAGACCCAGAAGGACACTGTTGCTGACACAAAGACATAAAAAAGCAAGACATGGTAGAGGTTCAAATATGTTTCGGGGTTGCTTTGCTGCTTCTGGCACTGGATGCCTTGACTATGTGAACGATATCATGACATCTGATGATTACCAAATAATTTTGGGGCACAACGTAGTGGCCAGTGTCAGAAAGCTGCATCTCCACCAGAGGTCATGGCTCTTCCAGCACTACAATGACCCCGAAACACACTTCAAAAGCACTTAGAAATGGTTACAAACAAAGCGCTGGAGAGTTCTGAAATGGCCAGAAATTAGTCCAGATCTGAATCTCATAGAACACCTGTGGAGAGATCTCAAAACAGCATTTGGAAGAAGGCATCCTTCAAATCTGAAGGCCCTGGAGCAGTTTACCAAAGAAGAGTAGTCCAAAATTCCAGTAGAGAGGTGTAAGAAACTCATTCATGGTTACAGGAAGCAATTGATTTCAGTTATTTTTTCCAAAGGGAGTGCTACCAAATATTAAGTTAAGGGTGCTAATAATTTTGGCCAGTGTATTTTTGGGTTTCTGTGTGGGATTGTATCAGATTTGACTTTTCTTCTCTGTTTTTTGTGTGTGTGTTGTTCCAATGCAAACCAAAGAAATGAACATGTGAGCACCAAAACATTTGCAACTGCAACAATTCTGAGAGAAGAGTTGCATTTTCTGACAGAATTGTAAGGGTGCCAATATTTTTGGCCATGACTGTATGATACTATGGCATGTACTGTTCTCTCCCTGATCATTTACAAAGAAAAAACCTGGATATTTTAGTTTTTCTTTAAGATGATGAAAACTCATTTTTATATTATAAACAGGTGTTTTTATTGCTTCTTCTGTTTTAAATTATTAATAAAAGTGTTATTCCTGCACAACTATTTCAGCACATTTTAAAGTCATGAAATAAGATAATTTGTTTTTGTATTTGTTTTTAAAATATGCACAGCCCATTTTCATCTCTGCAGAAAAGTGATTAAGAAGAGTAATATTGGGTTGGAGTGTTCCCTTGGTAGCAGAAAATGCATAGTGCTGACATCATCCAGACACCACTAGAAAATGGGGGGGGAATCAACTTATTACTTGTCATACTGTCTAGTCAAGGAGAAATGAATACATTTTTTTAAAAAATACCCAGAGATAGAAGAACAATCCTTCAGAAGGAGAAGAGAAATGTCTTTTTCCTATAGCTTAACCATGTACAATAATCCCTCCCCTTTAATATTGTAAACCAGCTGAGACAGACTAATTCAATTACCTTTTTGGAATCTACTACTGTACATTTTGTTTCTGATCCCATTTATGTATAAAATTTAAGTGCCTTTGAATCAAAAAGAAATCTGGTGCTCATATACATGATACTGTATCTTTAGTCCAATATGCAACACTTCTTCAGCCAAAATGTTTCTGCTAGTTGCTTAGCCAACATTTCTTTTTAAAGTACAGTGGTGCCTCGTACAACGAGTGCCTCACACAACGATGAATTCACATAACGATGTCTTTTTCTGATCAATTTGCTGCCTCACACAGCGATGTTTCCTAGGGGGGATTTTCACACAACGATGTCCCTTTTCCCTCATTTAAAAGTGCCTTAAACTGTTTGAAACCTGTTTTAAATGCTTGGCATCGATAGTCCAGCTTGTGAAAGGCATACAAACTAAATTTGGTGTTGTTCTGAGTCTTCGTTCAGTTTTGATTTTTTTATTTTTCCTCATTGAAATGTATTGGACGGTCCGTCCAATACATTTCAATGAGGAAAAATAAAAAAATCAAAACTGAACGAAGACTCAGAACAACACCAAATTAAGTTTGCATGCCTTTCACAAGCTGGACTATCGATGCCAAGCATTTAAAACAGGTTTCAAACAGTTTAAGGCACTTTTAAATGAGGGAAAAGAGACATCGGAATGCCATTGAAATGTATTGAGTCGGCTTCAGTACAGTGGGGTCTTGACTTAAGAACGGCTTGAGTTAAGAACATTTTGACTTAAGAACCACTCTCATAGGAAAATATTGACTTGACTTAAGTACTTAGATTTGAGTTAAGAACTGAAAAAACCCACGTGGGAGGCAGGGAAAGTGCAAAATTTGAACTTTCAGTTAACTGTTGGCCAGTGAAAAGGGTGTCTGTCTGCTTCCTCACTCCTCCCAGCGTTTAGAGAGTGGATTGGGAGACAGTCTTCAGACTGCCTGGTACTAGACTGCCTGGACTGTATTTTCCCTGCCTTCCCTGAACCTTTCTTGACCTAAGAAAAAAAGAAACAAAATATCTCCCTCTAGTGGTCGAAGGCAGAATAGCAGCTTCCCATTAGTTTC